GTGTGTGTGTGTGTGTGTGTGTGTGTGTGTGTGTGTGTGTGTGTCTAGTTTTTGTCTTTTTGAGGACCTTTCCTGATATAAAACCTGCCTTTTCAGGACCAGTAATCGTTTTGTGTACCAAACACCAGTCCACTTTTTTGGAACGCCATTTTTGGGTTAGGTTTAGGACTAAGATATGATTGAAGGGTGGCTGAGGTTGGGCTACAGAAATGAATAGAAGTCATTACATGGTCCTAATAAGGATTCAGTTCGATTCGATTCAGTTTATTTATATAGTGCCAAGTTGCAGCAAATGTTGTTTCAGGGCATTTTACAAAAATAATCTAAGAAAGCCAACAGATTACGTTGAATCACTTTGTCACAGTCTCCCATCCTGAGCAGCACAGTGGTGACAGTGGAAAGGAAAAACTTCCAGCAGAACCAGGCTCAGGACCGACGGCCATCTGGAAGTGGGAGGATAGGAAAGAGACACAGACAAACACAGAAGGACTGGTCCAGGTGTGTTTTCCTCTGGAAGAGACAAAGAAAACATGTTATTGATAGAAATAATTGCAAAAAACATGTAGAAGAGAGTGACTAAAGACAACAGCAGAGTGAGGAAATGTGCTCAGTTTGTGCTCCAGCAGTCTAAGTCTATAGCAGCAGAAATGAAGAATAATTCAGGAAACCTAAGCCTAACTATAGGATTTATCAAAAAGGAAAGTCTTCAGTCTAATCTTAAAAGTAGACAGAGTGTCAGCCTCACGGAGAGAAACTGGAAGTTGGTTCCACAAGAGAGCAGCTTGAGAACTGAAAGCTCTGCCACCTGTGTTTTGTGTTTGGCCAAAAAAATCTAATTATTTCAAGAACAAATAGGTTGATTTAAAAAAGTAATTACTAGATGTACATCTTTTGGAGTCCACTCCCATCAAAATGGCAGCCACCTTAGTCAACACAAAAATAACTACCTCAGCCAGTTTTACACACATTATGTTAAAACTTGATGRTAGCTGAGAGTCACTTACAACACAGTGGTTTTCCAACTTTTTAGCTTCCGGGCCACAAAATGCGGAAACTTGTGACCCCAGGTAGCTAATAACTCTGTTAATCATGTGCATAATAACAATATAAACAAACGTAATAACTATGAAACTACTTTTATTCATTTATTATTATTATCGGCTTTTGATGCATTTAAATTGATATCTGGAAATCATCTGGGGACCCTCACTTTATGTTTCGTGACCCACAGAGGGGTGCCGACCCCAACTTTGGGAACCACTGCTCTCAGTGATATGGCATGAGATTACACAAACTGCTATTTCTTAATGTTTGACACAAATTGTTTCAACTCAGTCATTTCTCAACTCAACTAAAAGTGTAGCGGCTGATGTGCATTCCTCAAAGAAATGCTAGAAATGCCTTCAGCTCCTTATAGGATGACAAACGATCAGAGATAACTGGAAAACTTGGGATCGGCCTCGCCCACCTCACCAACAGCAGAGTAAGAATATTTTTCCTCACATGGGTGTCATGGCTTGAAGCGCAACTGAGGCACGCAAAACAGAGAAAAAAAAAAGAAATAAGTGAGCACCCACCCTGTGACCTTAACATTCCTTACATGTATCCTTTGGAAAAAGAAAATCCGACTTCAAGCTCTGTTTACTATCTGTAGGAAGCCCACCTGTGTGTGGAGAACAATGCTGTGGAGGTGAAAAGGGGGGAGGAGGGGCTGCGGTGGAAGTGTTTGCTGACTTTTCTCCGCTCTTGGCTCCTGTCCACTGTTGTCCTCGTGTTTTTTTTCCCACATCCAGTCTTCAGAGAWAATGACATTTTAGCAGCGATAGGCAGCCAAACGAGACCCCTGAGAGGCTCTTACATTCAAGAAAAACAGAAGTCCTGTGGAAGTCTGGCCCCTTTGTTCCACTTTTTTTGTTTATTAGATATGAATCAGAGGGGCTGCTCTTATGACCGAGCCTTTGACACTGAACAGAGTTCTCTTAGTTTGGTCGCTCTAGTGGATTAAATACGCACTAAATTCATTTTCTGGATAATTATTGCCAGTAAGTATTGACTATTGGGATTAAATCTTTTTGTATGTGTGTGTGCTAACTGAGACTTKCACTCTGCTTCACAATAATCCCATYCTGTTCTCCCTGTGATGTTTACCGTCATGTTGTGGTTGTTATGTACACATAGTTTCCTACAGTCCTGTCTGGAGATGCCAGCGTGTTTGTACTGTACATGTACGATAGTACTCACCATCACATAAACAGAGTTGATCCTCTTTATTTTCTGATTTCTTAAACGTCTTCATTGTTTATTGGTGAGGGTCTGCTTCTGCTCCACATGTCTGCAGCTAGTTTTATACTTTCAGCGTGTTTTTCTTGAAATACCTCTAGTCTCTTCATAAACTGATGTTAACTGTGTGTAAATGTCWAAATGGCAACTCGTATAATCCTGAGCAGCAGATGTCAGTTGAGTGGATGTTGGTGAAAGAAGACCTTCTTTGCCCCCTGCTGCCATTACAAGGTTACTACATCTAATGAAGATGACAKTTAAAGGCCTTTTGCCCACCACAGGTTTTAGACTCGGATCATCTCATGTTGAGAAGCGAGTTRTGGCCACTCTGCTCAAACTTTAGAAAAAAAATGTGCAATCTCACACTCAGAGTATGCATTATGATAAACTTCTGCTGACATCTTTAATTGAATTGACTTCAAACAATCACTTAAATCCAAAGATTATTTTCTGAAACTTTCATTAAAATCCATCTACTGGTTTCAGAGAGTCATTGCTAACAAACACACTTTAACTCCATCAATTAATGYAAAAGTTTTAAGCAAAGATCTTATGCAATGAGTAACCCTCGGAATATGTGTTGTGAATGACTCTCACCTACAACCACACTAAATTWTATCACAATATCTGTAAAACTGACTGAATTATGACCATTTTTGTGTTTTATTTAATCAATGGGCTGTGGCAGCCATCTTGAATGAGGTTCACTATAAAGGTAAATAAGTTGTAGCTGTAAATCAAACGATTCTATCCTTAAAGTCCTATTAAAATCTGTTCAGTGGTCCCTATGATATTTTGCTAACACAGAGACAATGGCAGACACAGACACCTTATGGCAGCAGATGATGATGATAATAATAAAAATAAATTTTTCTCTTTTGTTTTTAAAATATGCYTCAGCTTCTAAAAGCCGAACATTATTCATGCAGTTATATTTAACAAAGTTCAGCAGTGGAAATCCTCTCGTTTCTTTCTGTGCAGGAAGTGGATGTTGAAGGACGGGTGCGTTTGGTGATGGAAAGYGCTCTAACGGCCCGCGACAGGGTCGGCGTGCAGGACTTTGTCCTGCTGGAGAACTACAACAGTGAAGCGGCTTTCATCGAGAACCTGAGGAGACGCTTCAGAGAAAACCTCATCTATGTAAATAAAGCCGACATTGTCTGTGTTTGAAAACTTCTGCTGATGTTCAGCTCTAACTGGGCGTCTCCTGCTCTGATGCTCTGCCTCAGACGTACATCGGCTCRGTGTTGGTGTCAGTGAACCCTTACAAAGAGCTGGAGATTTACTCCAAGCAGCAGATGGACCGTTACAGAGGGGTCAGCTTTTAYGAAATATCGCCTCACATGTGAGTCGACACGCGATCTTCCACGCTTTTCAGTTAACGTTTTGTCTTCAGACTAAAAACACTGTTGACTTGTTTCAAACCAGCAAATCACTTYAAATATGACCTCATTCTGTCCGTTTGTTTACCATACGGGTCAGTTTCACAWGGAGCCACAAAAGAATGTAAAACATAAGTGTGTGTGAAGTACTGTGTACAAGTATTTTGCTCTTTTCAGACTTTCTTCTGATTTTGCTTTTTTTTAACACACTTAAATGTTTCAAATTAGCAAATAAATTTTGATGCTAAATAACATGTGTTAATACAAAAAGCAGTTTTCTAATGATTTAAGGTTATAAAACCTGTTTTGTTACTTTTTTTGCGCAGGACCAGCTTGGATTAAATTGCTTTCCCTCCTAATGTTAAATACTTCCTGTGTGAATTTGGAACAAAAACATGTTAAAAATCACGTGTTTCACATGTTCTGCCCATGTTTTTCATGTGACTTTTGTACATTTTAGTCATCTTCGGGTGATTATGTGTGACAAACATGATTGATTTTTTTTGTAAATTTGGCTTTTAGCAGCTGTTTTGTTCATTTTAGCTTTTAGCTGCTGCTGTGYTCCTATTAGCTTTATTTTTTATTTTGGTTCCTTTTAGCATCAGTCCTGCTGTTTTTAGCTTTTGTTTTGCTCAATTTAGCTACTGTCTGAAACTTTTAACTTCTATTTGCTCAATTTATCTTCTGTTTTGCACCTTTTAGCTTCTGTTTTGTACCTTTTAGCTTCTGTTTTGCTCATTTTAGCTTCTGTTCTGCTCATTTTAGCTTCTGTTTTGCTCATTTTAACTTCTGTTTTGTACCTTTTAGCTTCTGTTTTGCTCATTTTAACTTCTGTTTTGCTCATTTTAGCTTCTGTTCTGTTTTAACTCTAGAATAGGCAGCTTTTTCTGCACATTTCAGCTTATTCATTTAACACTCAGCATTACTTCTCCCGTTTATGTACATGATGCAGACACAACAACACACACCAGGTATCTTATCCCTTGTGTGGTTTGAAGGATCATAGGACTCTCCTTACAGAAAATCACATTTGCTACTTTAAATTTTCCTAATGAGYGCAGGTGTTTGKTTTGTTGTCTGTACAGTTTGTCACTGAAGCTTGTTGGGTATGTTTCACCAGCTATGCCATCTCAGACAACACATACCGGGCCATGAAGACAGAGAGGAAGGATCAGTGTCTTCTTATATCYGGTGAGAGTGGAGCAGGTAAAACCGAGGCCTCCAAGAAGATTCTCCTGTACTAYGCTGTCACCTGCCCCACTAACGACCGCATGAAGACCCTCGGTGATCGCCTCCTGCAGTCCAACCCAGTCCTGGAGGTGTGTTCACAACATTCTCTGACTGATCTCAACTACTTAGAAAGACTTACTGTACTCTGTCATTTTTTAAAGCACATTTTTGYTTCTTTGTTTGCAGGCGTTCGGTAACGCCAAAACACTGAGGAACGACAACTCCAGTCGCTTTGGRAAATACATGGATATCCAGTTTGACTTTAAGGTAAACATTTTATCACTCARTCTGTTAGCAAAATATCTCCTAACCCACTGGATAACTTCTAAATAATCTTTCAAGATGGCTGCCACAGCTAGCCACCTTTAGGAAACAGAAAAATCCATCCGTTTTACAGAGGTTGAGCCCATCGTTTTGTGTAACGTCTTAAAGGGAGCACCAATAGGCGGTCACATCCTGAACTACCTGCTGGAGAAATCTCGAGTCGTGCACCAGAACCACGGCGAAAGAAACTTCCACGTCTTCTATCAGCTCCTGGATGGAGGCGACGACGACCTGCTCAGCAACCTGAACCTGGAGAGAAACCCTCAGAGTTATCGCTACCTGGTCAAGGTACYGAGTGTGGTGGGCAGAGCGATACAGTGGAGGTCGAACTGGGTTTAACTGTTTTTTTCTTTCCTCAGGGAAACTGCCCCAGAGTCAGCTCTATAAGCGACAAGAATAATTGGAAAGTTGTGACGAAAGCACTGAGTGTGATCGGCTTCACCACAGAAGAAGTTCAGGTAACAAACTTGCTGAGCAACRTTTACACAATTATTTTCCTGTTTGTAGTTTCTTTTGTACGTTTTCTTTTAACTGTAACTACTTTAGAATATTTTCAGCTTTTTTAACCATTCGAATGTCAAAACAATCTGCTCGTTCAGGACACCACATCTACATCATGTTTACAATTTTTKAATTATTTAACTTTTAAAAATAAAGAACTCGTCAAATCTTTGCAAACATTTGTGCTTTTTAAAATTTGACTTTAGCTTTAGATTTTTTCTGCTGTTTTATTGGATTTCTCCTAACTTGGCTCTTATCTACTGTTTTACCATTTGCTTTTGCTAGTTTTAGCTTTTAGCTTTGATTTAGCTGCTTTACCAAATGTCAGCAGTCATTCAGCTCCCAGCGCTCTCCACTTCTCGTGCTGCAGTCATTTTTTAAAAGTTTATCTGCAGGGTTGTTTTCAGCTGGTCTTCTCCTTGTCTGACCTCAGAYGCTGCTGAACATCATCGCCAGCGTTCTCCATCTGGGTAACACGCTCTTCGGGGAAGGGGAGGAGGGAGAAACTTACATCACCACTGAGACTGAGCTATCATGTCTCGCGAAGGTCAGAGCCGTCCCGCCGGTATTACTGTTAGCTCAAATATGCACGAAATCAGCAGCGCTGAGCGCAAATGTGTTGTTGTTGCCTTGCAGCTGCTGAGTGTGGACRGCTCAGCCCTGAAGGAGGCACTCACTCATAAGAAACTGACAGCCAAAGGAGAGGAGGTGAACCTGACCYTCTCCCCTCCTCTGACTTGTTCGGTGTGTTGCTGATTGGTTTTGATGCGATCTCTTCCTGTCTTTGTGGCTTTCAGATGATCAGCCCGCTAAGTTTTGAGCAGGCAGTGTCTGCTCGGGATGCTCTAGCCAAGGCCGTGTATGGTCGGACCTTCAACTGGTTGGTGGAGAAGATCAACCAGTCGCTGGCTGTGAAGGTGCAGTAACAGGAACTCCCAGAATAACTGTCTATTTTGTMGTGGCTGCTGGGTTTTACTACTTTTGYTTGCTTTTATTTTTGCAGGATGAAATCTATCACACCAGCAAAGGCTCTTCAGTTATCGGGCTTCTAGATATCTATGGCTTTGAGGTCCTGCAGCACAACAGGTACAGCTTTTCACCCCACAGCCCGTGAGACCAACACTTTATAACCTCTATAATTCATTTAGTTAATGAACTCATTTCTCCTATTTCTGTCCAGTTTTGAGCAGTTCTGCATCAACTACTGCAACGAGAAACTGCAGCAGCTGTTCATCGAGCTCACGCTCAGATCTGAGCAGGAGGAGTACGAGACCGAGGGGATTGCAGTGAGTTTCATACTTTTTCTTTTTTTTTTTCTTGAGTAATCTGAACAAATGCCTTTGACAAGTTTGGCAATATTTCTATCTCCTTGGGAACATAACATTGCTGTCCTTAAAATGCAGTGGGAGCCAGTGCAGTACTTTGACAACAAGATCATCTGTGACCTGATAGAGGAGAAACACAAAGGCATCATCTCCATTCTGGTGAGTGTAGCATCAAATAACACTAATCTTGTTTTTTTTTATCTGTTACTGTTTGCTAATGTAAATACTGACTGTCTTTCAGAACGAGGAGTGTCTGAGACCTGGAGAAACTTGCGAYGCCTCATTTTTAGAGAAGTTAGAGGACACGGTGGGCGGTCATCCCCACTTTATTACGTAAGGATAGTTTTATCCTAGCAAACAGGTTTTTGCATGTGAAGTACCCCAAGGCTCAATATGTTCATTTATATTGTTTTATTTTTATTCAGAAACATTTATAAACCATATGAAATGTTAAGTGTGTACAGTCAAAGGGAAAAATAAAGTCCACTGGTTTCAAGAACAGGATTGATGTTTGAAATAATTCAACTCTCACCTCAAGTGTACAAAAACACTCCACAAATTCCACCATGTTGCTATAATTAAAAAATATGAAAATGAAAAACAAGAGACTAACAGGTTAAAGGTTAAAGTTAAAAACAAAAATACTGAACACAAAGAGCTGTATAGAACATGGCAGAACACCTTTGGTTCACAAAGTTTTGTCTGAATGAACATCGAGCACCATCTCCCTGTGGACARATGAGACCAAAGTAGAGACGATTACCCATAATGCACAGCGCCATGTTTGGCAAAAAACAAGCCCCTCATCGCCGCACTTCTGTTTCTGCATARATCTTCATATCGAAATCATTTCTAAMTTGGACCTATTTYAAGTKTTATTTTTCGTCAGTGYTTTTGCATTCCMTCTGTTGTCTGTGTCGGTGTTTCAGGCACAAGTTGGCAAATGGAAAAACGCGCAGGGTAATGAGCAGGGAGGAGTTCAGGCTGCTGCACTATGCAGGAGAGGTCAACTATAATGTTAACGGTAGGTTGTAATTTTCCTCACCGGTCGTTTAAATGTTTTTACTCAGACTTTAGTGCCTACAGAGCRGAACTAACCTGAGTTTTTCCCTCTCATTTCAGGTTTCCTGGACAAGAATAAYGATTTGTTGAACAGGAACCTGAAGGAGGTGAGGTTAATGAAAACGATCAATTCAGAACTTTACAGCTATTTTAAACTGAATCTTGACTCTAAAAATGGAAGAGAAAAAAGGAGGGTATGTCGTATTGCTCTGTTCACATGAGGTTTTGTGGTTTGGTTTTGATTCAGGTTATGTGCCAGTCAGACAACCAGATCCTGAGCTACTGCTTCCGCAAAGAGGAAGTGATCGACCAGAAACGTCCAGAGATGGTGTGAATTATTCACTCGTTGCCTCACTTTTTTGTGAAAATCACCTTCGACTTAAGTTAAATCAGCTGCTCCTGCTGTTTACATAGCAGGAACTTCAGAGGCATAAAAAATTATCCCTACAGATTTCATGTTGGTTGTTCTTCAGGCTGCGTCTCAGTTCAAAAACAGCCTGATGAAACTCATGGAGATCCTCATGTCCAAAGAGCCGTCCTAYGTGCGCTGTATCAAACCCAACGACGCCAAGCAGCCAGGTGCATTTTTACRTTTTGATTAATTCATTTGACTTCTGAAAACTTCCCCAGTTTGGTCACAAAAAGTTCACGCTGTCAGTGCTGGCTCATTCATTCAGGAGCACTGGAGTGAGATAAATGAGTGGCCTGTGGCTCGGAGTCCTGCCTCGTAAAGTTTGGAAGGCTCAATATTKGTGTGTTATGGCAAATATTTAGAGAATGCAGCAGTGTTTCTTCATTGTGAAATGGCAGGAATTTTAAAATAAAGAATAAACCCTTTAAAGGAGTGTAACATTTGAGCTTTTGCTACATGTTTGACCAAAAAGCTCTAAATACAAAAGACTGAGGAAATGTTGCAACTGCAACAAATGATCTGACCAGGTTTATCCCTGAAAATAACAGAAAAAGCTGAAATTTGTTGGTATGTTTTGGTTAATCACTAAGCGGTTTGCCCGCAGGACGGTTTGATGAGGTTCTGGTGCGACACCAGGTGAAGTATTTGGGTCTGATGGAGAACCTGAGGGTCAGGAGAGCCGGCTTTGCTTACCGTCGTCGCTTTGAGGCCTTCCTGCAGAGGTGACTGGAGCTTTTCTTCAGCTGACCCACAGCTGCCTGTTTGTTCTGTTTGACCTCCAGCTTTATATTCATCCACAAAAATGCCTTCAGGTACAAGCCTCTGTGTCCGGAGACGTGGCCCAGCTGGCCGGGCAAACTGGTGGACGGTGTGTCCACACTGGTCAACCACCTTGGCTACAAACCAGAGGAGTTCAAGCTGGGCAGGTAATGTCAGTGTTGGGTTACTTAGACATTTAAATCCTTTAAAAACTAAACAAACAAACAAACAAACAAACGAGAAGGATTAAAAAATGTAAAAAGTTTAAATAAAAACAAAAAAGTAAAAAAATTATAAATTTTGTACTCATTTTTTGATTTTGATGCCATAAATTATTGTCTTAATTGATGTTGCTAACATTGKTGTATATAAATGAGGRCTTTTAAGAAAAAATTGAAAGTTTTGTACTTTACAAACAACTTTACATGCAAAAAGGAATTAAGAAAACCTAATTTTCTTATTCAACTTTGAAAAGATTTTAATTTCATCAACAACATAATGGTAAAAGTCCTTTCGTGCAAAAACAAAAACTAACAGACAGGAATGAATTAAAACCAGATGAATATGTCAGTGGTGGAATTCATTGTGTGAGTTTAATGATACTTTTATAAAACATTTTCAGGAAACACACGTTTTATSCAAAGTTTCAAATTAAAGAACAGGAACTGGCTGCCACGCTTATAAGCCTGAGTTCAATTTAAAATGGATGGAGGTGAAATGAATAAATAAATATCCTGAAAACAGGGGTTCCTATGTGTATAAGTAAGAAAATGCAAAACTACATTCTGCACAAACTACTACAGCCAGGAGTAGGAGTTGAAGTGCCAGCCTGCAGACAGGAACTTCCTTTCACTGTAGATATTAGGAAGTGAAACATCGGACACAGGAGGCCTGAGCTGCATAATTCATGTATCAAGTAAGAACAGGTAAAACTTTTGCTTTCAAACCTATAAACCAAAACATGAAGGTTAAAAAAACAGCTAAACAAACATTTAGCTTGTGTATAAATGCTACATGAACCAAGTCCAGTTTGTTTTCCAGATGTGGCTCATCAGTTTTTTTCACTCATGTTTGCTTTGTAGATCCAAAATCTTCATTCGTTTCCCCAAAACTCTGTTCATGACTGAGGATGCCCTTGAGGCAAAAAAGCCAGAGATCGGTATGTAGCAGAGTCCGAAATGTGACACTTAAGATGACCTTTTGTGAGCTGCTCGTTATTTCAGGGTGTCAGAGAGATTCTTTTAATTGTTTAGTGAATATTCTCCCACCCACTTTCACTATTATACATAAACATAGAAAACACAGTAATAAATACATTGCATGGCTTCGTTAAACAGTTTAGATTGATGTAGTAACACAAGTCCAACAGATCTGTTTTGTTCTGCTGCAGCGGTGATCCTGCAGAAGTCCTGGCGAGGCTACAGAGAGTGGGCCAAGTATCAACGCATCAGACATGCAGGTTTCCTACCTCTAAGAAAGCTTAAACATGTTTAAATGTTCATAAACATTTGGTAACTTTAATTCATGTCTTGGTTTTCATATTGGGTCTACTGGCTTTATTCAGCTGGTTGTAAATATGTCGATCATTTCTGTTTAATCTCAAGCAAAATTTCTGTTTTTGTTARTTTTGTGATTCTGGTGTTTGGTTTGTTTGACTTGGTGCTAATGTAATGCATATGTTTGTGTTTGTGTGTCTGTGTGTGTAGTGATCGTGATCCAGTCAGGGTGGCGAGGGATGAAAGCTCGCAGGAGGGCTAAGAGACGTCGACAGGCTGCAGAGCTGATCCGCAGGTTGATGCTTCCTCTCGGTTTCTGTTTCGYGTTCTGCCTTGCATGTGTGTGTGTGTGAGTGTGTGTGTGTGTACACATACATCTTTTCACACACTGTCTCTCATTTTCAGATTCATAAAAGGTTTTATCTACCGCAATGAGGAATACTGCCCTGAGAATGAGTATTTCCTGGATCATGTACGCCAGTCCTTCCTCAAAAAGCTGAGCAAAAATCTGCCCCAGAGTGTTTTAGACAAGAGCTGGCCCACGCCCCCTCCCTCTGTCGTTGAGGTATTTGCAGGAACTCCATAAACTAAATTTGCTACTCTTAAATAAAAATAAAAAATAGAGGAACTTCGGCTTACAGCTGACAAGTTTCCGTTCTCTACAGGCCTCGGAGCATCTGCAGACGCTGCACATGCGAAACATGGTCATCAAGTACTGCAGGAGGGTCCAGCCTGAGTGGAAGAAGCAGGTGCAGTGATTGCAGATCACATCGCCATCATCGCTCTTTAAATCTGTATCGATTGAATTATTTGCTCCTTTTGTTTTTGTGTTTCCTGCAGATGATGCAGAAGGTCGTAGCCAGTGAGCTTTTCAAGGACCAGAAAGAAATCTATCCTCACGGTGTGGGGAGGCTCTTTCTGGACTCCAGGCTTGGTACATGTTCCTGCATCCGCCGGTCCACTTTGTCTCTGGAAAAGGAATAGTGCAGATCATTTGAAGTGGGGTTCTTTAGAAAGKTTATGAACAATTAATAYCTTACCTGGTGAAGATAGCTTTTTGAACGACCTCAATTTGGAGAAAAAAAAGTTTAATCCTTGCCAGATTGACAGTTTAGTTTTAGTGGGGCCAAACTATCGTTACAGAAGATGTAACTGTTATAATTTTAACTTGGGCTGTGAAGATTGCACCAATTTGTACTGACTTATCGCCTAAACAGCAACAAAACCTGAAAGTGTGCTTTAACCTGGTCRTCTGAGTCAACTAATATTTTATTGTTACAGTTGCATGTAGACTCAGACATTAGCTCATCATTCTGACTCTATTTCTCCAAACTCAAGTCGTTCAGCTGGATCTCAACAACAGATAAGATAATARTTGTTTTTAACTGAACCTTATTTCAATAAATATGAACTGTTMTTATAACATCGACGCAAACCCAACATTTACAGCTGTTTTCCATCTYTTTGTGTAGAACGGGAGCAAATCAGCCTCAAAGTGCTCCAGACTCTTGGCAGTGAAAAGGTGCAGGTGAGTTTAGGTCGGGGGACCACTTGAACGAGGAGGGTGAAAGCTTCCCCCATGGTAACGAGTCTCATGTTGGTTCTTAGTACGCCGTTGCAGTGGTGAAGTACGACAGGAGGGGCTTTAAGCCTCGCGCTCGTCAGCTGCTYCTCCTGAACACCTTCGCTGTGCTGGTGGACAGGACCAAGATCAAACAGAGGATCGACTACAGCACACTGAGAGGTACATTCCAAATGAAACGGTAAATATATACATCACCCTCAGCAGCTATCTCCAGCAACCACGTGGTGACCGTGTGCTTGTGTTCTGACAGGAAACTTTACAGCCTTTTGTAAAATGATCAACATGGATTATTTTTGAGTGCAGCSAGTTCAAGCCCGCTTTTGTTTTGTTTGCTTGTTTTGGAATCAGGCATCTCGGTGAGCTCCCACAGCGACGGCATGGTTGTCCTGCACGTGCCGTGCGAGGACAGCAAGCAGAAGGTACAGCAGGGCGCCGCAGCCGTGGCTGTTTGCTCAAGAGCACAACAAGCGCTGCTACTTTTCAATCCTGCTGTGTGTCCCTTCAGGCCGACGCCGTGCTGCACTGCAGCCACGTGATCGAGCTGGTGACCAAACTCTCCATGCTGGCCAGCAAGACCAACTACGTCAATATCAGCCCCGGCAGGTGAGGCTCCATCTGGCTGCTCTCGTCTGTGCTGAGGAAGTGTACCACCATAACCTTATCCTCTCCTGATGTGTTTCCTGTGGCGTGGAACGCAGCATTCGCTTCGCAATGACCCGAAGCAAAGAAGGAATAATTGATTTCATCRGGGGACCAGAGCTGAAGGTGGCCAAAGGCAAACGAGGACATCTGCTAGTGGTGAGTCAGAGGCTGTTCGAGGATCATGTGGGGGGAGCCTGCAGAGAGTAGGGAGGGAGGGTTTGATAAAGCCATGGGGGGAAAAAACATTTAATATTGTAGGGTTTTACACAGTCTATTGAGATTTTTAATTATCTAGTTCGGGTTTGAAAATTATTTAAATGTAGCCTCAAGTGAACAACAACACTACAGTTGCCTTTGTGTCATTTTTTATTTTACAAAAGCAAAATCAAACTGAAAAGCTGTGTTTGGAAAACTGGGTGCACCCTTGCTGCTTCTCCAGCGTTTAGGACCAACTCTGTAAAAACAGGAGTTTTAGCAGTTTGCTCTGGTTCACACAGGGGGTGTGTATTAAAGGGGAGAATTATGCAAAATTAAGCTTTAGATCATGTTATAACGTCATTCCTTCATCAAAAACCTACCCAGAGTGTTGCTTTGACTCATTCATGCTTGTTTGAGAAATCCGTGAAGCTGCCCAAACACTTGCTGGTACAAAGCTCCTCCTATTTGTACAGTTCTCCCCTGGAGCTCAATCTGAATCTGAGCTCCCGCCTCACAGAGTGCCCTTCCCTGAAACAGTGTTTGAAAATGTGCTGAAGTGGGAGCATCAGAAATGGTAGGAGATTCTTAAAAAAACAGTCTTATTTCATGTTCGAATACTATTAGCCCTGTGCTGCGAAATTCAAATGAATTTTTTTAGCATAAAACACATGAACACATAAATTGAATGCTAAGAAGGAAAGAAATCAGTAGCAATGACCTTAGAGAAGCAACTTTTGCTGATAATGAAGCCCAGCAATTTCACCCCAATATCAGACCACGTAACACTCAAGGAAATAGCAAATTCCCAAGAGCTCCATCTTGGAGTCTGCAGGCCTCTGTTAGCTAGATAAATGTTAAAGTTCATGAAAGAACATAAAACAAAACTAAACAAATTTGTTTTGGCTAAAAGCTTTGCCAGGAGAAACCGTCTTCTTTCTAAAAAGAACATGGCAGCAAGACTTGTGTCTGAGTGAACCACAGAACCGCTGGAACAAAATGGATAGAAGGAACCAAAGTAGAGATGCAGATCATTCTGATTAATGACTGTTTATGATTGGTGTGTGGACCATAACAGATGCCGTACTTGCTATAGGTGCTCATATAGTTATTGTTCAGCTATGTCCAGGTCGTGGAGGGGTGAGAGTTTGGGCACCTTGCAGTCATCGAGTCGATCATGAACTCTTCTAATATTATACAGTCAAATGTGAAGACATCTCTCTGACAATTCAAACTTGGACCAGACGGGTCATAAAACAGGACAATGATCCCAAATACATCAGCAAAATAACATAAAAATAACAGAAGAGCTGAGAAATATGAGGTGAATGTTCTGGTCAGAGTCCCTGAGCTGAGTAAAATCAACCGTCTGCAATAAACTGAAGAAATGATGTAAAGAGGAATGGGACAAAGTTATTTCACGACCATGTGAGACAATGATGAAGCCATTTGGAAAACAATTCCTTCCAAGGAAGAGTTATGGGGTGGACTTAATTTTTCACACACTGCTTCATAAAAACAAAAATAATGATAGATTAGAGAGGCACCGAAAAAGTGGCCGACCAATCGATCCGCCCCGATTTCCTTCATTTTGAAAGATCAGTCGACATGTACATGAGAAGCCGATCTTCTCTACCTCCCCATCTCTTAAAGTCAGACTCTGTCCCTATTTGCTGTGAGCACTGCCTCATGTCCAGTTCAAACAAGTCTTTATTGTTTCGAGGGTATTATTCAATGTTTTTCAGTGAAATAAGGTTGAAACGTTGACAGTGCCGCTTGTAACAAAAAATTGGCATCGACCAAAATTGGATTTGGCAGGTGAGACTTTTAAAGATGGGTGATCTGCCAGAAAATTAGAACCGGTGTTGTGTTTTTGTTCACTTCAGGTTGGATACGAGTCATTTTGGAAGCCGGTAAAGACCAGATTATTAGATTATGTCCTGACGTGTGATAACAAATGAAATGTTTCTTCATGTTATTGGGAAAATGAAAGTCCCCCCATTTATTTTTCTTATTTCTGACTGTGTTCAATCTGATCCCCCCTCCTCAGACGGCCCCTCGCATTAACGCCACATGAAGAAACAGAAAACAACGTCCAGACAAACACGGATCCTGACCGGAGGACCGCCACGCATGAGTTTTCTGCAGCTGACAGGATTATACCGACAAATGCAAAAATATACTCAGCAGAAAGATTAATTTCTTTTATATATTAAAAAATTATTAATAATCAATACTTATTTAAAAGCATCACTAAATTGTAAAATGAAGTTGTCACTGTTTTCAAATGCTTCATCTCTTTATTGTCAAACACACACACACACATACACAACAATCTTTATCAAATATAAAATATCCTCTGCATAAAAAAACACAGTTTCTCTTTATTCCTAGATAACTCAAACAAACCACTTAGAAATAAATAATATGTTAATAAATAAGTCAATAAATAGTCTATATTTTCTTTGGAAAGTCCTGAAGTTTAGGGATGTGGTGGAGGAAACAGGATGTTGGGAGGTCTTCCAGGAGCCTATCTCTAACTTACAGTTAGATGTAAGACAGAAACTCTCGGAAATACCCAAAAAAGCCCTTCAGTACCACCAAAAAATGTGACTCCTGTGTACAAACTGAGCTAAACTATTTTAATCCCACTCAGCTGCTGTCAGTTCAGGTTATTTCTTTTCAGTCTCTCCTGTTTCTGTGCAATCCTTGTGTTTTTATTTTTATTTTTTGTTTGTTTAGGCGTCGGCTTTCGAAGCCAGCAGAAGGAAGTCTCTTGCTAGCTTTGTGAGGTAAAGATCCAAGTCCCTGAGGATGATGTAGCCCTCCACTCGGCTGTCCCACACGGTCCAGGCGCTCCGCCGTTGGTTTGTGTGCTCCGCTGCAGGCGTGGGCTTAACCCAGGAACTCCTCAGCGCTCTCATCTGCAGAGGGAAGAAAGCAAAACAAAGTTGGGTCAGAGCAGTTTTGGTGTCACTTCCTCTGTAGAGCGTGCGTGGGTCGGACTGGGGACACGGTGTGGGCGGATAACGGTAAGAACTGTAGCTACCTGACTGCTGACTTGGCTGATCAGGTCTCGTAAGTCCTGCTGAATGTGCCAGATGCTCCGAGTCAAACTGGTCTTGRCCGCCTGCTCCATCTGCTCGTCCACTAGCTGTTTTCGCTTCCTGTCCAGTGCGTGATTGTAGACCTGCAAGTCCCAGAGAGCGCCGTGTAGCCGGTCCCAGTCCTGAGCACACAACCGGACAAACCTCGTTATAATAAGAATCTTGCGCAAGCCCCATTATCAGCTTTTTTTGATGCTCTCAAAAAGGGGAATTCCACTCAAAACTTTTATAAAACTCTGAAATCTGCAAGAGCAGACGTTCAGGTGATGTCATCAGTTTGTTTTTTTCTTATAAGATGTGGAGGTGAGGGGGAAGAAACTAAAAATAGCATTAAAAATTTTGGAAAACTTTGATTTCTACAGAACATAAAYTTGTGAGAAGTTTTCCATGTAATAGTTTTGAAACAGATACTAACCGACAAACTGAGCCACCTGTAGAAGTCTGTGGACAGTAACGGCAGGTCCCTCAAGTGTCGGCTTCTGTCCTCAAAATGTACGTTTCCCATCTGCTGTTGCTTCTGATGAAATAAGAAGAACAAATGTTTAACTCTACTGTTGCACTTGGTTCAAAATGACCCACGAGGCCTCGGTGTTGAGACTTGGGTCTCTTGTGTCAAAGCTGGCTTAAAACTGCATAGAAAAAAGAACACTCACGTATTTCGTTAGGAGATGCTGCACGCGGGTTCGGGTGGTTGTTGTGAGACGGAATGAGATTTTGTATTTTCGCCTCTGAACAAACGGGCTGGGAGCAGCAGACGCCACGCAGCTGAGTGCACAACAGAGGGTGACGAGAGTCCACCAGAGAGTCATCTGAAACGGACGGGAGAGAGTTTGAATCCTGCTAGTTTATCAGCAACACATGCTTTGAGACGGGGCTGAAAGCAGATCCTGCACCTGCATTCGAGACGAGGGAAAAGGAAAGAAAAGCTGCTGCTTTGCATATTTAGAACATCTGTGAGGGAGTTTTTAAATATTTCTGAAAGAAATTCCTCACCACAGATTTTACCGCCCCCCCGGCCATTACCCACTACATGCTTCAGTTCTTATGCAACTTATTACTGCTGTAGCTGCTGTAGTCGCAGAAGCACACAAAACAGAAGTGTCTTAATTCCTCTAAATGGTCTCCCTCTGAACAGAAGCGCTCTGCMTTGTTTTTTTATCGTTTTTATTTTTTATTTATTTGTTTATTTTTAATTTATTTTTTTGAATTTGTTTTGTTGGTTTTTTTTTAGTGCATCTCTGCAAGGCCCTGATTCCTCACAGCAGATCAAGTGCCGGATTAAAATTATGTTCTTTTTGTTTTTCAGAATGGAAAAGTTATTGGTCTGCTTATTTGCATTCTGTGCAAAAATGCAGTTTAAAAATCTAAAATGAACAAATTCTACAAACTAAAAACACAGCAGTTGCTGGCAGCAAAAATGACCAAAATCCTGGATTTCTCACAGCGGGTCAAACACCAGATTAAAATGGCGTTAGTTTTATTTTTCTTTCAGGTTCCGCTTTTTCGTTGACAGTTATTGGAAAAAAACGAAGAAGCGCATCTTCCTGCTGACGGTCATTGTAGATCATTGCATCATGTGTTTCCCATGCTGACTGACTCAATGGTTTTCTCGCTGACTGAAAGCATGACAGGGTCTGTTAGCTGTATGACAAGTCTCTGTTTAGTTTATGACATGCTCTGATCCTCACAGATCAACAAAAAAAGTTACTGATCTGGACTGACTTATTAATTTGCGAGCAAACAAAAAGAAAAAAACAGTTTAATTGCATTTTTTACAATTGTAGTTGGACATGAAGTTTTTACTATTACAGGAATCAGAAAATCATAATTAAATCATAATTAAATCATGATTAGTTTCAAGCCTGAATCATAGAAAAAGGTATATATGCACAATATATGCAAACCCAATATACATTTTCTATTTTTCTTACATATAGACAAATTTTTATTATTTTTGTTTTGGGCTTACCTTGAGCAGCTATGAGGAGTAGTGTGTGCCACTCTAATACTGTGAGATACTTCTGTGCATTTCTTATTTATATTAGTTACTCTTGCTTTCAGTTTCTGACATGAAGGTGCTTTTTTTGTTCTCTCTCTCTCTCTCTCTCTCTCTCTCTCTCTCTCTCTCTCTCTCTCTCTCTCTCTCTCTCTCTCTCTCTCTCTCTCTCTCTYTCTGCATCATGAGGTTACGTTTTGTGATTCTGAATCATTTTGTTTTCTACGAAACAACGGGACATAAAACAAATGCAGAAATAAATCATTATGAGAATGCAAAGCCACACTGCATAATTTTAATTTCAGCTTTATAAAAGGCAGACACTAAAGTTTTACACTAAAATGTAGCATTTTGTTTAGCCAGGAACAAACATTCCTGTAAAATTTCACCAATTGGTCCCCGAATTTTGATAGCAAAAGTGAAAAAAAAGTTGCTGAAACTTCAAAATTCTGAAACTTCTGTATTTTTTTTCTCTTTGTGGCTGTGCGTGGGTGTGTGTTTCAAGAGCATGTGAAGTCAGGTCTTGACAGTGCAYCTTCAGGGAATATTTTTGGAGTCTCATGATTCTGACAAGTAATTWCACAGTTTCAGTCAATCTCACAAAATGAGAAAAACAATTCAAAAAGACCCCGACATCACGACTGTTTCTGTCACGCTTCATTATCAGAAACGGCAAGTACTTTTTCCAAAAACTGGTGGAAAAAGTTGGAGAACAAAGTTTAGCTATCATTGTTTTTTACATTTACTTCTGAGACAATAAAACATAGTTTAGGAGAATTACTAAGATAAAACCTAATGAGAAAAATTTTCTCTGAGTATGTTATTATTATTATTATTATTATTATTATTATTATTATTATTATTATTATTGTTATTGTTATTGTTATTGTTATTGTTATTATTATTTTATTGAAGTTTTTATTTTAAAAAACTACAATAATAATATTAGTATTATAAATAAATTCTAAAATCGTTATCAGCTAACTCTTACACTCACAGTATGTGTACCTTTATTTTAGGAATATTAACATTTAAAAATATGAAAAAATACTAAACATAAACTTAAAAAATATATACATAAACTATGTAACCAATGATTTCTGTGTTGACCTATAGGATCTTTGTAACTTTAGGGTATGTTAAAAGCAATTACACAGAATTATTATTATTATTATTATTATTATTATTATTATTATTATTATTATGAGTGAATGGCAGTGCCTGAGTGTTTAGGAGAAATGTTCTCCTATGAGAGAGTTGGCGGGTTGATTTTACCGCTGTGGACGTGTCCCTGGGCAGGACACTGAACCCCCACTGTCTCTGATACACCGGTACCATCAGTGTATGAATGTTTTTAAGCAGTGATTATTTTCTATAGAATGATCTGTCTGGGTTAGCTTTGTAGAGGCATGATAGAGTGCTGAATTAATGTGTGTGAATGGGTTAGTGAGGACACAGATCATAGTATAAAGTGCTTTGAGCATCTTTGTTGGATAAAAARATGCTATATAAGTAATTTACCATTTATTGTTCCTATTATTTTTGTTGTTTTAGCTCAGGAAACGGCCTTCTCTTCCCGAAAAATATTTAACATTAAAAAGGAAACTTTTAATGAATTCTAACCACTGGTTGATCAAATATACCAAAACTAAAAATGTTAAAATGTTTTTCCCAAAAGTAAAGTTTAATTCTGACTACYAGTAAATTGCTCACCCGAGCAAAAACCAGAGCGGATGAATACTGTCTTTAAACAACTCATTCACACTAATTCTTAAAAGAAAATATTTCAAAACTTTTCCCTCCCTGTCAGTTTCACATTAGGATTATTTACAAAGACAAACAGCAGCAGTTAGCTGTACTTCTGATGCAACCTGGGGCACTTCAGGCAAATTCAATTCAATTCAATTTATTGTCATTATACTGAAACAGGGTTGTACAGTGCAACGAAATGCTTTTAAGCTAGATCTCCAGTGCAGTAAAAAAGGACATAGTGCAGACAAGACATAACGTGCATAAACAGTAGACACAAACATCAAATACACAATCGTGTGTATGAAGTGAACTAGGTGTGGACAACGGACAGTCTATGATTGTTCAGGTTGTGGYTGGAGTGGCTGGGGTCACCAGTTTAACAGCACGGGGAAAGAAGCTGTTCTTGAGTCTGGTGGTTCTGGCTCTGATGGTC